GGGGGGGGGTTGCAGGTGAGGCAAAGATTCTTGGTGAATAGGGGGATGAAGAGATCAGGGCAACTGAGGGTCTGCTCTTGGATGAAACGAACTGAAAAGTGGTGCGAAAGGGAATCACCGTTACTTGTTATTGATTTAGTCTTTTATGCTGATCTCTTAAGTTCATCATCGTCCTACCTTATCCCTCTAAATTCTAGATAACTTAGAAGACTTTTGAATCTATCTAAGGCATTGCATTTTTATAACGTTGAAATTTTCTGAAAAAATTAAGTTTCCCAGCGTACAGTTTTACTACGAGGGTCGAATGATCTACTGATACTTGTCTACTGTGTAACCGTGCAAAGTAGTATCGGAAACGACTGATCGCCATGAGCGGAAATGAATGCATGCGAATGGATTTATTATGCAAACTCAAAAACCGATCAATATAACGAAGCGGATAGCCCTCACATCCGTCTACACGTATGATTATTCTCGATTTTTTCAGTTCGTAAAACTCGGTGTTTTTCTATGCATTTGGTCTCAGAAAAATCCATAAGCAATTCTTTGGAACATCCCAATCGACAGAATTTTACGTCTTTTTCCAAAGAAACATGTGGTCCCTCTTGAAATAATTTGATGCACAATAGGAAATGTCTTTAATTTGTTGAAATCTCTATCTGTAATTTCTTAAAAAGCGCAATCCGAATTAAGTTGGGGTGCCGGAAATTATTTCATAACTTCACGGACTCGGCCCAACCCATAAACCCCACCCCTATGCGTGTGAATGTCCATGCGATTGCACCGTGCACCCGACGTCCACAGTAGTGCATTCCTGCTACTCGGAAGCCCGCGAATTTCAAACAGAAACAGGAAAAAATTGATTCAAAGACCTTTTTGTTAATGTAGCCTTGAATTTTACCCATTTTAACTAGTGCGCCCGCTAAACCTGTGGCAGAAACTTATTCGAAGCCTTTCTTTCGTGGACTTGTGAAGCATAATCCATCAATTCTTCGAGAAGAAAACTCAAAAAAAAAACTTTTGAAGGTGACAACTTGTCAATACATTCACGTCAGCTGCTGATAACGCCAAATCGCTTAAGAGTTCATGGAGATAAATGACCATGAGGTTGCAGTTGTTGAAGATGAACCGCAGGTATGGGGCAATCAATTTTGCATTATTTCAGCAACAACAAAGTGTTGAGTTTTCAGAAAAACGCTTTTCTCGTTGTTGGTTTCCACTAGCATTGTTCAGTGAAACATTTTCTTTGATTTATAGTCAGAGTTCGGCTTCGGAATCTATTCATTCGGACTTCCTGCAGCTTCCATCTTACAGATGGGATTGCTGAGTGGTCTCATTTCTCGATCCTCCTCTGCTGAAGCATCAATATTTTGAAGTGTGGGGTTAACCTATATTGCGAACAGGGTATAGGTCCAGGCTAGAATACTCGATCACGACGTCAGACTATCCCGTGTTTTTCACTGACTCACCCTATAAGGCTTGTTCATAACCTTCTTTTGGCGCAAGCTCGGAAATTTACCTTCTCTCAGGAAGACCATTTTTCTTGGTGTTGCAGTTCCTCCTTGTTCATTCTATTAATATTCTGGATGTTAGAAGTCCCCTCACTCCCCCATTTCATACGTACTGAACAGACAAGCCCATTGCGAAGTGAGCAATTTGTCTGGTTCGGGACATTCTTCTTATTGGTAGAATAGCTGCGGAAATTCAAGTGGTATCACATATATCCCTAGTGGTACTTATTGATAAAGTTTTTTTCTTGGAATTTATGTCGTTCAGCGGGCAGGTTTGATGACCTTTTTATCTAGAAACACAATAGTATTTTCCCAAGAAAGTACCTCTAGAGACCATCTTGTTGCGTTGTGACAGCTCATTTAGCGAAAAATTGGCATGTTTTGATGAATAACATGGCAATATGAATGTAGTATACAATGGAATTACAGTATGCTCCAAATCGCTTCAAGATTCTCGTGGTTGGGAGACGTGGATCAGGGAAGACTGCTCTGATTCGTCGTTTGAAGGACAACGTTTTTAGCGACGACGAGGATGATCCAACCAGTACGACGGATGTTACCGTTATAGTTCGTGCTGTTCAGGGATCTATTATTAAGGCCGATATGGTCGAAGTTGGTATGTAATGCAATTACAAGTAATGAAAGGCTGACTGTCACCATACAATCAACCAATATTCAGATTTGTCCACCTTTCTAGCTTGCGATTCTCCCTCTAGTCAAGCCAAAGTTCACTTTGTGAGTAGCATTCAAATGATTGCAGTAGGGTATGATTATGGCTAAATTGACTTAAACTTTTTATTCAACAGGTTAGGCAGTACTTTGATGTAAATGGATTACTACTGCTTTATGACATTACCAATAGCGATACATTCGAAGAAATCGACGACGTACTGCGTACCCTCCAACGAATGGTGAAAAAACTTTTATTCATTTCCATCTCATCATATATATTCATTTATATATTTATATTTATTTTTATTTGTATTTATACAACCTTATATGATGTAGCGAAGTAGAGGGGATGAAGCAGAGACAAAAGGATAAACAGTGAAATTACAGTACCAAATAGGCTGATATATTGATTGTGCATAGGTGGGCCAAGTAAGACAGCCAATTTTCCGATACACCGTTTGGCGACTGTTTTAGATGAAAGTACAACGCATGGCGCATCCATGGAAGGGATCAACTGGCTTTACATCGTGTAGATCTAATTGTTGAATTCCTTTTTTGCCTCCCCTAGCTGTTGGCTCAACCATTTCAGTATTTCCTGTTTCTGGATAAGAGAAGCACATCAGTGTAGTTAAAATTAGGAATTAAAAGGCTGAAATAACGAAAGGTTCGTTGGAGAAGGAAAGCAGTTCCAATAGGGTAAAATAACTTACAGCAACCGATATTAAACTATAATTAATCATACTAGTAACCTAACAACCGTTTTACAGGTAGCCCCAGATGTTGACATATGCATATTAGGAACCAAGGCTGACCTTATGGAATCTCGGAAGATCTCATTCGAAGCTGCCGAGCAAAAGTCCGTCGAACACGGTTTTTCTCTATTCGAGACAAGGTAGATTTCAATCACGTTAAAAGTTCCTTTCGTAAGAGCAAATCGGTGTTCTCGTAGGTTTTCTTATCCTCGTCGGAATCTTCTCTTTTATAATTCATGAACTTTGGCAGCGCATTGACGGGGATTAATTGCGAAGAGGCCCTGATAGAAACTTTGGACAAATTGGCTGAACGGCGGGCGGAAGTACGGGAATACTGGAAAGAAAACACTGAGGTTTGTTCTCCTTCAAAGAACCTTGACATTTGAGGACTTCAAATACTTACATCGCTAAAAAAGGTATTCAAAAAGCAAACTCAACATATAAGCCTGAATTCCAGGATTTCACTGAAAAACTACTTCAGAGCATGTAATAATTAAGTGTTTACTTTGCGGTAGTTTTTTTTCCATTACGGCCAATCAGTCTTTGGAGTAACAAAACGTAAAAAAATGGTTTTTCACCGCTTCCTACTGGATTTTCAAGTAAACCGGGTGGGCAACCTTCTCTGAATTGTTTGTCACTTGAGGAAGTATTACACCAAACTAGTGGGATTCACTTATTCTAAAAATACTTTTGATAGCTAAGGTATAGACAAGTGATCAAATAATGAAGTAGTAGTAGAAGAGTTATCTCTGCGTCGGGTCCGCCCCCCCCCCCCCCCCCCCCNCTCTAGTTGAAGCATCTGACAAAGTCCAGTCCGCGAAAGCTCTGGATTTCAATCGCTTGAACTATTCTTTTCACCTGATTTCCGAACACCTCAACATATGTATGCATCGGCATGCTTAGTCTTTGATCGTCAACTATGGTCTTCGAACATTCCCTCTCACTTCAGTGAATAGAGAAGTTCCCAGCATTGTTCTGTTTGGATTGGATTCTGACTCGTTGGATAGCGGTGACCGCACATCGATTTCGCTCTCGTAACCTTTGAGGTTTATTCGAAACACTTCATGCTCAGATCACCAGGTTCTGACTGGTTGTGGTATGATATCAGAGCTGGAGTCAAAAAAATTATTAAATTTTGGCATTGCCTTGAACAAACTAAAGTTTTCGTAACCTTTTGGTCCCCATAGAATCCCACAGGGTTATTAGGAGGGCGGATATGTAGGGATGCGTTGGTTAGTTGCAATGAAAAATTCGTTTAGTTTATAACTATCAATAGTCTTTTTAATGAAGGGATATATAAAATAATGAAATGCGATCAAATTCAGCTGTTTGGTGTTTCAGCAGGACCCCCACAGTATTGTCTTGGGTAAACAGAAACCCAAAAAGTTCGTTGTCAAGAATGATCCATAGTTTAGAACTGGTTGCACATTCTTTTGTGGTACCGATACCATCTCATTTTTCACGTAAAATAGAGATAAGAGGAATTTTGACGAAAATTAATCTTGCCCAAGTGTCTGTTTATTTTGAAAGGCGTCACAACAAGTGGAACAAGGGAGGCGTCTCAGACAGCGAACGGGCAACAATGAGGTTCTTATTTCATCGAAAAAGAGTTCTGCTAATGATCGGAACCATTTTCAAATTCTCTTGGGATCCAAACGATGCAAGGAACTCGAAAAACATCTTTGGAGAGAAGGAGCAAAGTTGAGATGCCGTAGAGATGTGATGATAAACGATCAACGCTCTTCGGCATCCTCTGTGTATGCCAGTGGTTCCCCATAGCGGCTATCAGAACTGGAACGAATCTCTCTGTTTTGTTGTTATACATCATGTTTCGGGAGAATTTGCCAGCTTCATGCTCCCCTGCACCCCAAAAACACTGAAAACTGTACATCCCTACAGTATTCAACAGAAAATGGCATGTTTAAAGACCTCCATATGAGATTGAGATAGTTTGAAGTCATTTTAAAGCATACTTTCAAAAGAAAATTTCGGCTACGATTTTCTGTTAAAGGTTTGTAATGAGTTGTCAACGACGAATGAGCACGAACCTGCCGAGTCGAACTTTTTCTGTTGGATACCAAAATTTTGGAGGCGGAAGCATTGAACGATTCAAAGTGATAAGCCGGTGTATTTTTTGCTCATCTTACATGTTTTTCATTGTTCTAAGTGTCCTTCACTCTAAATCTCAGTTCTGTCGTGGTCACAAATTTGTTACGAGTTTTCTTAGCCATTCGAATACAGATTACTATAATGTTCCGGTCAGTTTTTTATTGAAAGCATTCTCGGATTAGGGGGAGATGGTGTAGTGGCAAGTGGCTCACTATCACACGCGCATGGTCACAGATTCGAATCCCGATTTGACATCGTTCAAGTCGACCGAGCCTTTCATCCTCATTGGTCAGCCAAGTCAATTAGTACCAGGACAAAAGGGTAGGGAGGATAAAAGCGCTGATTTGTTCATCGGGAGGTCACCTCAATCCCATATAAGTGTAAGCCATGTATGCATTCTACGCCACTACGTTTCTGAATTGAAGTTGAGTGCGCAGACCCATCCCTCGGAGGGAATTGACAGTAGTCAGAAGACTTTTTGGACTTTATTTTCTAATGAAAAGCTAAGATGGCATAATATCTTCCTTCTGGAACTTTAAAATCACGCAGTTAAAAAATACAGCCAGAGTTGTCTGGAAGCTTAGAAAAAAGTCTCTATGGCCCAATAACACATTAAAATACATCCAGAATTTTGAATAGAGGTCGTATGTATGTCATAGAGGACCTTCAGAGTACCAACTGACATGGAATTTTTTAGTTCATCGCTCTGATTTTTTACTTCGAGGTTTTTCAGCAGTATCTTTAAAATCAGGTGACATATTTTCAGGAATTTTCGTCATCTCTTGACCACTGACGTTGCTGATTCCTTAACCCGAACGAATCGATCATTTAGCCGATTGAGACCTCAAATCCAACTTTTGCTCTTATTGAACATTGCTTATAGAGAATTCGGGTCAACTCGACAACACATTAATCTCCTGAGAACCGAAATGCCCCCGGGGTAATTCCACGGGCTCGGTCTAATCTCATACATTGGGAGTCCTTCATACTCAACAGGAAGTGTGTGCGTGTGTGTGTGTTTGTGTGTGGAGGGCATACTGATTACTAGGAAGTAGTGGATGCGATGAAAGGTTTAGTAGCGATTGCTGGTTTGAGTAGAATCTAGTGGTGGTGGTAGTAATCGTAGGCGGGGAAATCCCACGGATTCCCACGGCGTTGATTGCTGGGACCAACGCTCGTTGCTAACCGCCACGTCCATCGCTGTTCAAAGATAGATTTACGTTTCAGCTTCAAGATCTTTCTATGAGCGTGACTGTAGAGTACGATTACTTCCAATCTACTCATTTGGGCAGTAAAAGTATTACTTTTTTCCTAAAAGGATTCGCATAGAAAGCGAAAAACATGACCAGCCTAAGAACTCTCCGGAAGTAACTGAATGGAAACTTGCGTGCTGGCCCTTTGTAACCCTGCTGCGATGCTAACATGAGAAATATCCTTTAGTAAACAATGTGTACGATCAGAGACTCCTTTCTGCCTTGAGCACTTCTTTGTTGAGAGCCCGATTTGTGATATTTCCATGATTCAAATCCCGAGCACGGTGCTTTCCTTTTATTTCTATCTGATGTTTGATCTGAGCCTTTTTTTGTTAATTTTGGACAAAATTTTTTTCTGCTCCCACTTTTTTCATACTTCTCATGTGCAAGTAGTAGTAGTTGTTAGACTGTCAGACCATCCACTTTATGTAATGTTCATTCGATATCGGGCTTTTTCTAGGAATTTCCTGAAAACGCTGATTTGCCGAATATTCGATTACAATGTTTTGTTCGTAAATTGCTATAATATCAAGGAACTCGGTTCGTTAAGAGCGTCATTGGATTAAGGACTTAGAAGGCGTGTGGACATGTTACCTCACTATAGGAACCAGCACTCACCCTGAAGAACCACTTGAATGGAAACGCTAGGCCCATTGTTCCCAAGAAAGCACCACTTTATAGGCGGAATCGGTGTCCAATGCGTTCGTCTCCAGTGTAAGGATCGAATGCATGGCGCAGTCTGCTATAAGAATGATCAGTGCACTGCTGACCTTTCAAAAATTGCGCCAGAGCCTTTGAACCTTTGTGCCAGGACCTAAGGCTATATTGTTTTCGAAATTTCCGGCGGATATCCATCCACTAAAATAGTCTGTAAAAAACTCAACTTTCATCCTGTAAAGTCAAGCCCAATGTCATAACAGTCTTTCAAAAAGTTCAGAATCCTTAAAGTTGTTGCCGGAAATGTCACTAAGTAAATTGTAATTCTTGTCAAAAAATAGCCAGTCACTGTAAATAGAGGGCCAAGCACTCATCAGCTATCCATCATGTTCGTGTACTTGTTACTAGTTCTTTTGTTTATTTACGTCATTGCCGCTGTAAATTTAGAATACACAGCCAAGCATCGAACTCAACATTGTGTTCAGAAATTTTTCCTCTGGGTGATTGATTGCGGTGAAGTGGCAGCATCTCTACCCTGCCCAACGAGCTCACACTTGGTGTTTATTCACCTGCCTCGCCAGGATTTTTATCGTTCCATTTACTGCTTTGTACTAGTTAAGTCCAACTGGTAATCTTCATGATTAGATCCGATACGGATTGGTTCAAAGCCTGAAAGACTCAGGTTGGTTTTCCTCTAAGTAAGTCGGCTGGGACTCTCGGGGTAGCGGCAACTGCCACCTGCGAGACCATCAGTTCTTCATAAATCATGAATCCATCACAAAAACAAATTTCTTGTAATTTATGAACTATCAAAACCGCGACAAATTGCTACATTGAAAGATGGTGGCGCAACATTAAACCCAACCATTCTTTGCCAATTGACTCGTCAAGCGCAAGGCCTTTTGGGTTGCTTTGGTTAGTTGTCTCGTCACACGACAATTCGTTCAAAGCTCACATTACAGTTTGGTCACTGAACTCGAGTTCATTCCAAAATGTTCAGTCTGAAGTGGGACCAGAGGTAAACGAAACGTGACCTCAGATGAAAAACTAGGTCATCCCTTGTGACGAAATGCTCTGTCACATTCGTGAAACAATAAAACGCCCTCCGTAATGGTCATAAGATCATTTCAGCTTTCCGAAATAATTCGTTTTCAACGTTCACTCCGCAAATCCATCCAATTACTTCTTTGCGTCTTTCCCGGGGTATCCCTTCTTCCTACTGTTCAAACATCAAGCCAGTGTCTGGAAGTGATTAGCTTCATCACCTTTCCCGGTCATATCTACCCAACTCCACGATGCAAGATCACTATAGATATTGGCGGGGGAGGGGAGG